TTTATCAATCTATTTTTTTTCTTTAGATACTGCCGATCTGATGTAGATATACTTCAATGGTTCTGTCTCAAGTTCAGGGATGAGTTTCTTGCAATCTGTGATGTAGACCCATTTAGGTATACGACCATTGCTGCTGTGTGCAGAAGTAAGTTTATACCACCATAGTTAATAGCTCTAATACCTAACCATGGATATTTTACGACCAACAACTACAGTCAGATAATATTAAGTATTCAATGGTTAGACTATATACAAAAATCTGTGGGGGTAAAATTTCAACATGCACTTAATGGTGGTGAGAAACAAATCCTAAAAAACCAAAAATATAGTTTTAAAAAGACCCATGTGGTTTATAAGAAATCATACTATTGAAAGACAAAAACGACTCAAAGGTTTAGGATACAAGGTCGTAACAGGATGAGAGCATGAATTTAAGAAAATGAGAACTAATGACACTGATTTAATAAATTTCCTTATGGATCACACAGTAGTTCCCCACCTGGACGTACAAGACTCCTTCTATGGAGGATGAGTTAATACTACAAGACTTTTATACAACGTAAAAGAAGGAGAAAAACTCAAGTATGTATATTTTACATCTTTTTATTCGTGGACTGATAAATAATGTGAATATCCTGTTGGACATTCAATAATTATAATGACAATTTATTCTACTTTAAATAACTATTTTGAATTCATTAAATGTAAAGTTTTACCTCGAGGAAACTTTATCATCCTGTATTACATCTGAGAAGTAACGGGAAATTGACTTTCCCTCTCTGTAAAACGTGTGTCGATTTAGGAATACCACCTCCGTGTAATCACTCGGATGATGAGAGAGTTTTCATTGGCACTTAGGTTACAGAAGAAGTAAAGAAAGCAGTCGAGTGTAACTATAAGGTAATACAGATTTATGAAATTTACCATTTATCTGAAAGATCCACAGAGCTTTTTAAAAATTATATAGACACATTTCTAAAAATACAACAGGAAAGTTCAGAATAGACCTCTCACTGTGTTACATCAGAGACAAAACAGGAATGTATTTAACGGTATGCTGAAAAGGAAGGTGTGGAACTGTCCCCTGAAAACATAGAAATTAATCCAGGCAGAAGGTCAGTTGCAAAAACTTTGTCTTAACTCTTTCTGGGGTCGTTGGGGCATGTCTGAGAACAAGTCACAACTGACCTACATAACTTCTGTTAAAGAATAGCATTCGTTAATGAAGGATAACACCAAAATTATAATGTATGTTACATTCGTTAATGAATGATAACACCAAAATTATAATGTATGTTACATTCGTTAATGAATGATAACACCAAAATTATAACAGATGTTACATTCGTTAATGAACGATAACACCAAAATTATAATAGATGTTATATTGGTTAATGAAGAAGTCATATCTCTTCGTTAGAAACATAAACATGAATATCTGCCACAGAAAGATCACACCAACATCTTTCTGGTGACTTTCACAACATCACATGCTCGTTTAAAATTTTATGATACATTAGAAAAGTTAGGTTCGTCTGTTTTGTATTATGATACAGACGGTATTGTCTACATTTCATACAGATCTAATGATCCACCTCCAGGAGATTATCTTGGAGAATTTACAGACGAGCTGGACGGACACTATATAACATCGTGGGTAGTAGTGGTCCAGAAAACTACTGTTATTTACGCAACGGTGGATAGACATGCTGTAAGATCAACGGTGAAAAGTTAGATTTTTCATCAATGAAATATATGATAACTGATATATATTCAGTCCTTTTCAGCCTCCTATAATTGTTACCAATCACAAGAAGATTTGCAGAAACTTGAAGACTCAGATGATTTACAACAAGGAAGAAAAGAAGGATTATCGTCCAATTTACACTAAACGACACATCCTTCCAGACTTTAACACCCTTCCGTATGGATACTGATTTTTATGCATCACATGGAACTGACATTCTCTTTAACAATCCAAGGTTTATGAAAGGCCTGTACATAAAATATTAAACTCTGTAAATAACGATATGAAGTCAGTCATAGAAAAGGATACATTACCCTTAGATGATAATGCAAAGAATATAAACTAACTGCAATAACGTCATCAGATCTTTCATTCACAAGCCATGGAACATGTTAAAATAAGAATAGAATGACTCGTGAAAACTTAGAGATCGTCGACAGCGTTCCCCGGAAATATTAAAAACAAAGTTGAAATTCTATTAAACTTGATACGTTCCAGTGGTGATCTAACGTGGAATGATCGAGGAGAATTAGTGATTAGTAAAAGATCCGTCCCAAACAGTAACATGATCGACTTAATCAACGACGTGCTACGAAAACGAAAGAATTTTAACCCTACAGGATGGAAATAATTAGCAGGCCGATTATCAGATATGAATACTTCTCAAGAAGTTGTTGGAAATGTAGACAGGTAGAAATATATGAAACACGTGATAAAAAACCTAAACGTACTGTATGTAAATGTGACCATTTTAGTAAAGTATTCTTGTATTAATCATTCATTTGTATTTTGATTGTCGTCATGAGCTGTTGTCAGCCTTTTAACTAAATAATATCTTGAGTTTAAGAATTACCATCGTCTGTTGTAAAGATCAAATTATTACTACTGTTAGAGACAAATTTGATGGTAAAATTATATGAAAGTAGATGGCGTAGAAAATAATGTCTAATAAAACTCTACAATCTATCTATTATCCATGTATTAGGTTGTCAAGAAATTAATGTCGCATTTTGGAACACTTTCATTACCCTCCCCCAAAAACAAAATTTAAAAAACGTACGTTACGTATAATAGTTAAACGAACTGCCTGAATGTCATGTTAGTGTAGCCTATATAATGTGCAAAGGTTAGTATAATCTACTCCCTTTATATTGATGGCACACGACGAGACAAACATTCCGCATATAATGCTGACTGAAAACAAGAAGAAAAATAACGCCTCTGTAGCCACAAAAAATATGAAAGAAGTTTATGAAAATGTTTGGAACGTTCGTAAGTGTTAACGATGGTTCAACAAATTTCGTTCAGGTGACTTTAGCCTTAAAAACTGTGATGGCAGGGGCCGACATGTTGAGAATTGATACTGATGCTCTGAAGACGATTGTTGAGTCTAACCCAAGGAAACCCACTCGTGAAAAATCCCTGAAGTTGCATATCTCTCATGAAATAATACAAAAACATCTAAAGAATATGGGAAAACTCCATAAAGAAGGTGTATGTGTGCCTTACGAACTCCACAATGATCATCGTTTCCAACGTGTGAACATTGCTTCGTCTCCTCTGGTGTGTAATGCACGTGAACCATTTTTGAACAGAATTGTCACCGGTGATGAAAAATGGATTCTCTATGCGAATATTAAACGCCCAGAACAATGGCTCAGTCCTAGACAAAATCACTACCGGCCTCAAAACCTGGACTCCTTCTGCAGAAAGTGATTCTTTGCATTTGGTGAGACATCAAAGAAGTAATTCATTTCGAACTCCTCAATCCACAGCGAACTGTCAATGAAGAGATCTATAGTTAGCAACTGAAACATTTAAATCGAACCCTTCATCAGAAACGCCCTTCACTCGTAAATCAGAAAAGTATTC